ACACAAAAAAATCAATTTTTTTCTGAACATATATATTTGGTCACCATCATCAAGGATTCTCTGTGACATAGACTGGTTGGCTTTTAAATTTTAAAAAATTATTCGATACTTTTACTCAAATATGAAAACCTATTTAGAAAGCTATAGACTCTTGACTGTGTCAGGGAAACAGAATAGAAACTACAATGCTCTGAGAACAAGAGGAGCAGGAGCTTGTCAATGTGGGTTTACAGTTGGCATCCCTTACTTGGAGTCAGAGCAGAGTAGAAAAGCATCTGTCATCAAATGTGACAAAGGCCACTGCCCTAGTTAAACTGTTGTGAACTGGGGCACTTGAGTCTGAGTAATTCAGGACTTTTATTTTCAGCCCATGTCCCCAATCATTCCTGTTGAAATGAAGGCCATCTCTTGCCACTAAATGTGCCTTTTGCCCTTAGTAATAATCTGCAACTTTCATCCAAACAGTAAAGACAGAAAAATGGAAAATGTTACATTCTCAGATAAAGGAAAAAAAGATATATTTCTCATTGTGCACTCCAAATGTGTTTTCTTTCACTTTCTCATTTGTTCTGTAACAGATTTTACTGACTGCAGATACATTTCACAAAGTATATAATAAATTTAAAAGGAAAATATCTTCATTCCACACAAATCCATACAATGTATACACCTCTTGGAATTGGGGGAGAGAATGATATTTTGTGAAATTTTTGTACACAAATGCTAACTAGATCTAAATGTGCATCATTCATTTCAATTACAGTTCAGAAATGAACCCAGGAGTCATACAGGTACCACTATAATCCACTTAGACATTCTGGATTCTTCTATCTTTTTACAGTATATTTTTTGCCTAGGTGAAGCCCATTGGCCCTGTCTAGTATTGGCCAAGATGAAAAAGAAAAGATAAGCCCTAGTAGAATGAACAGTAGACACGTTGCTGCTTAGTTACAGACAGTGTTATGTAGTGATTATGGGCTCTGGAATCAAGCTTCCTTTATTCAAATCCTAGTCGTTGGCTGTGTAACCTTTGCCAAGTGATTTAGCCTCTCTGTAACTCAGTAGCCTCACCTATTAAATGGAGGTGATGATAAGTGCACTTCATAAAATTACAGTGAGGACTAAACATGAGCTAATAAATGTAAAGCATCCAGGCCAGCCCACGGTAAATCCTCAGTAAATATCAAAATTGTGAAAACTTACTGTGTGTATTTTCTCCGTCATGATTCTTCCAAAACATTTGTTAGTTACCAAGCATTCAATTACAGAGATGAACAATAATCTACTTAACAATTGTCATAAAGTTTTAGAATTTTTTTCCAATTTTTCACAGTTACATATTTACCTAATTTTTCAGATTAACCTTAGAATCAATTTGTCAACTTTCTAAAAAAATGCCTCTTGGATTTTAACTGAGATTATATTAAACATACACATTTATTTGGGGGAGATTCGCTTATGAAGTCCAATCTTCTCATCCAGGGATATAGTTTATCTTTCTGTAAATTTAAGTCTGCTTAAAATAAACCTCTAATGTTTTGTAATTATTTTCATATAAATCATCTGTATTTCTTTGTACATTAATTCTTTGGTGTTTTACAACTCTGTCATTAGGAACCATTAAATATAATTTACTCTTATTTCTTGCTGTTATGGAATATTTAGTAGTTTCTTTATGTCACTTTTAAATATAGAGGTTATAATTTTTCACAGTAAAAAATATCAAACCTTTACTGTGTATGACTGTTTTTATACACAGGAAAACATCAACTTACATGCTGAATTTAGAGCAATTTTTAGTTTTATCTTTTAAAAAGTAAAAGCACTTTCCAAAGAGGAAAAAAAATTAGGTGGCTCATGCCTGCAAGCCCAGCACTTTAGGAGGCCGAGGCGGGTGGATCACGAGGTCAGGAGATCGAGACCATCCTGGCTAATACGGTGAAACCCTGTCTCCACTAAAAATACAAAAAAATCAGCCGGGTGTGGTGGTGGGTGCCTGTAGTCCCAACTACTTGGGAGGCTGAGGTAGGAGAATGGTGTGAACAAGGGAGGCGGAGCTTGCAGTGAGCCGAGATCACACCACTGCACTCCAGCCCTCCAGCCTGGGTGACAGAGTGAGACTCTGTCTCAAAAAAAAAAAAAAAAAAAAGGTCCATAATATCCATAATATACTTCTAAGCAAAGGGGTGATTTTACAGAGAAATCATTACGATAAATGGCATTCTTGCTTCACCATGAAGGATCGCAGCCCGAATAGAAAGATCAAGAGCTTAAGAAAATTCTGTGCTAATTAATATGTCTATTAATGGGTTATTAGACCATAACGGTCTAACATTTACTACAATCCTGCCTTCTTTTCCACATACTCCTACCTTAGAATTCTTCTCATACTTCTTTAATTATTTCATATTAATTGATTGCTTATTGTTTATTTTTGTCCACTGCCAATGTATTTCCATTAGGGCTACAATCTTCAGCTGTCTTGTTCACCACAGTGACCAACCAATGTCCAATCACAGTCTCATTCGTTTATGTATTCATTAATTGAATAAACAAATATTAGTCTCCTATTCCTTATCAGGAACTGTTGCATATAGACAAGGTCTTTGACCTCAGAGTGTTTATTTTCTGTGGATTTGGGGGAGGATAGAAAGCAAATAACCAAATAAATAACATAATTTCAAGTAATTATAACAGCTACCGCATAGGGTGGACTGAGCAAATCTGGGTGGATGTACTGTTAGAAAAAAAAAAAGCCAGTGAAGGCCTCTCTGAGTCGGTAACATATGAACGGAGAAGTGTAACATGAAAGATCTGAGGGGAAAACGTTGCAAGAAGACTGAATTTCTATAAAGATCCTGAGGTGGATAAACTTGGTGGTTTGAGAAGCAGCAATAAACCAGTGACCAAGACAGAGAATGGAAGGAGATGATGTCACAAAGTCAAGACACAGTGAGATTGTGCAGTCAAGGCCTTCTTGTGTCACACTTTCCAAACTTAGTTGTGCATGTAAATCATCTGGAATCTGGTTAAAATGCACACTGATTCAGGAAGTCTGGGCCAGGGCCTGAGATTCTGAATTCCTAATAAGCTTCCAAGGGATGCTAATGCTGTTGTTCTGGGGACCACTCTGAAAAGGAATCTTCTGAGTTATAAAAAGGAGGTTGAGTTTTATTGTAAATATGAATAAAAGCCATGAGAGGGCCTTGGGATGACATAATTGCTTTTCATTTTCAAAGGATCGCACTAGTGTGTAGAAAAGCCTGTGGAGGTGAAAGCGTGGAAGCAGAAAGCCAGTTAGGAAACTGCTTCTGTGAGGCAACAGAGGAGGGTGGTTTGGAGTAGTCTGAGCAATGAAGGAGCCCAGGACACACGGTGACGTTTGGGACATGTTTTGATTACATAGTCAAAATAATTGATAGACTAGATGTTAGATGTGAAAGTCAGAGTAATCAAGACTGTCTAGTATTAAATGGACCAGTGAGTGACTTGTGGTTCTTGTTATAAAGATGAGAAAATATGGAAGAGGGCCAGGTAGGACAGGATAGAAGTCAAGGGTTTGGTTTCAGATATGCTATTATTGAGAATATCGTATTAACGATCAAATAGAAATATTAAGTATAAGTTGTGTACATATGTTAAGAGCTTAGGGAACAGTATTGAATGTAGATGGAAATTTAGGGGTCATTCGATTTTGAAGTTATCCAATAAAATGAGCTCATCTAGCAAGGGAGAATTAGAGAAGATATTTAAGTCTGAGAAGAAGAGGAAAGGTCAGCCAAGGAGACTGAAAAGAAGCTACTTGTGAGGTAGGAAAATAATTCAAGAACATGTGACACTCTAGAATTTAAGTGAAGAAGTGCTTCAGCATAGTGGCTAATGGAGATTGGGTAATCAAATAAGTACCTGTCAGGGTTCAGATGAAATGAAACTGAGAATTGACCACTGAATGTTGCAAGACATGGGCATTGTTGCTAACTTGACAAGGGTGGTCTTGGTAAATAGGGTGATAAATTATTGCCTAGAATGTAGGAAAGCAAGAATGGGAAATGATAAAGTAGAAGCAGAGACAATAGAAAACTCCTTCAAGAATTTTTGCAATAAAAAAAGAGAATGAGCCATAACTGGAGAAAGATGTTAAATCAAAGGAGTTTTATTTTAAGATAAGAGTTATTGAAACATGTTCATGTGCTGACATAAATGATAGGTGATGAGAAAATATGGATTATGCAGGTGGAGGGGCTGGCTGTGGAGAGAAGAGAGAGATGAGAAGAAAATAAGAGTATATATGGGTAAAGGTGCAAGTAAGTTGAGAGAGAAGAAAGTGGGAAGATAAGCACTTTTCTTCTAGATGATTCTGTTTTGCAATAAAATAAGAATAAACAAACAGTAGAACATGAGGAAGGAGTGTTGGGGATTTGAGCGGTGAAAAATTTGTGTGATATATTCATCTCAGATAGCATGGAGGCAAATTTAAGAGAATGTAGTGGGATTCAAGGGTAGTACTGAGGGACCATTTAAGGCATGGTAATACAATAAATATGAAGTGGGATTTCTTCTAGTAACATCACCTACTTAGGGAGAAAATGGCAAGGTTGCTGAGGATACATGCAAGAAAGAAATTATAGTAATGAGCCATAGCATCTAAACCAAGTAAGAAGGAAGTGAGGGCTTGAAAAAGCGGTGAGTCAATGCATTATTTAAATGAGACTGAAGAATAGTTATTAAAGTAAGTGAATAGAGAGGCAAGAGGTTCTTAGATTCTTTAGGTAAGTAAAACCCTGTATAACATACCCCTGAACTCTCCAAAGGCGCAGAACAGTGGAACTTTAGCCACAGGCACACAGCTTGAGCTGTCATGAAAGTTTCTGAAAAGGCTTACTAGAGATTTCCTTTTAGTACACATATGATTTTATTTACTTATGTTTCTCAGAAATACATCTATTGAGAAAGGCAGGGTTGATCAGTACAGCAACTGTATCCCTTTTTATTTTAAGTATTTTGAAATGTTTTAATGCACCAAACTCAAAAGCAAAACATCATTCAAATCAATGGGCTATTAGAGCACCACCCTTAAGTGCTGCTTTGTCTCTCTGCTTATTACTCTTTCAAAAGCAATAAAACAAAAATCATATCATCAAATTTGAATGTTAATTTATTTCCAAAATAATCTGGACAGCAAGCAAATAGAGTCTTGAAATGCTGTCTCAAACATTCTTTAGAAAATTGTTAGGAGGGCAAAAAGTCCATAAAGTAAGGCACAAGGGTAGGCAACAAGAAGCTGCTGTCCTTCCATGTGCAAGGCTGCAATGAGGATCTTGGAAGCTGAGAGACTACACCAGCCAATGATCACCAGGGATGATACGGTTCCAAAGGTGCCCCTGCAGCAGAGACAAAGAGATGATTGCCTGTGCCAGTAGAAAAGAGACCATTGAGTTAAAGCTGCCTCTGAAATATCCTTGGTACAATATTTATAACTACTTTTGCCAGTGGTAAAATGAAAATCATGAAATATATGAACAAAAGCCCTTGGCCAGTTAGGCATTTTTTAGTCAAATTCATTACAGAGGCTAAATATTTTATATTTCTGTTAAACCTGAATTAGAAAAAACAGTAGAAGTTACCTGCAGTCACTCTCCTCTCATCTGTCAATATTCAAATCCTAACTCCTAAAATTCTCTTAAATACAGCATTGAGAGCCTTCACATCCTTATAGCTATAGACTTCCTTTCCCCTACTTGTCTCAAAAATTGGCCAATGGTATGGGAGAAGGATAGACAGAGTTACATTCCAGTGAGTTGCCTAATTCCCGCTACTTTCAGATCTACTTGTCAGGTTTTTGTCAGACATCACAAAAAGCCTGACACAGCTCAAGTAAGGAGCACATGGGACAGGAAAGCACGTATGTGTGTGGCTTCCCACTTCATCCTTGAATCTCCATTTTGTGTATTTTTAGAATGTTGAAATAGATTTGTTCAACTAGTATCTTCAAAAAGTAACTGTGGAGGCAAGTGAGCAAATAAGATAGTCAAGTCTGGTCACTTGGAGTATAATAAGGCAGGAAAGGTGGTCAAGAGTGAATTTCCTTTCTTATGTGCTAAACAGAATGCATTATTTAGAAAAATAAAACATGAGAGCTGGGAGAAATCTCAGGAGATGTCTACTGCCCAGTTTTAAAGCAATAAAGTGATGACAAAAATTGCATGGTGAAGTGGACAACAGGTCAAGGATCTCTCCTATCATAGCACTCTTTTCACCACCAAACTAAACTGCCTTACTTGATCTTGGTTTGACTCTGAAGTTGGGAATTGTGTTTATTATTTATGAAAATGACAGAAATATCTACTTCTAATAATTGAACGAAAGCAAAACAAGTGAAAAGCTCTATAGTATAGCTTCTAATGCCTCAGACTATTAATAAACCAAACATATTTTTAAAACACCAAATAAGTACTACATTTATTGATTTAAGTAATACCTATTAGAGATATTTTCTAGAGTTGTTTAATGTACTGTATTCTTAGTAATGGTCTTGAGTTGCACATACTAATTGCCTAAATTAAGGAAGAAAAAAAAATATTGACTGAGCATGTATGTTATAAAATTCTCCAACATTAATATCCTCATCAGGGTTCCTGGGAATTCTACCCGGCAAGGAGCCCAGCTGAGAAAGAATAGCTGTTTTCAGCCCAGAAGGCAGAGTGCCTGAAAGCCGAAGCAATTTATCAGTGTTCACCAGGCACTTACTCTTCCAAAATCAAACAAGTGAATTTCCTGTAGTTGTTATTTTACACATGACGATAGTTCACATTGAAAAATGTGACAACTTAAAAAGTGCCAGTTTTTTTTCTTTTCTTTTCTTTTCTTTCTTTATTTATTTTAGATGGAGATTTGCTCTTGTTGCCCAGGCTGGAGTGCAATGGGATGATCTTGGCTCACCGCAACCTCCGCCTCTGGGTTCAAGTGATTCTCCTGCCTCAGCCTCCCGAGTAGATAGGATTACAGGCCTGCGCCACCATGCCTGGCTAAGTTTGTATTTTTAGTAGAGACAGGGTTTCTCTATGTTGGTTAGGCTGGTCTCGAACTCCCGACCTCAGATGATTCACCCACCTCGGCCTCCCAAAGTGCTGGGATTACAGGCACAAGCCACCGTGCCCAGCCAAAAAGTGCCAGTTTTAAAGATAATTTGGATTAATTTATTTTTTAAGTAACTGAAGTAAGAACAGCACCTGGGCCAAAACTGACCTACTTTTCTGAATCTATGTGTAGATTTTAATAGCCATGCTTTTCCCAGTTCCACTACCAAAACAATCAGAATGGGCTTAACTTTTGCATGACTGTGGCAAACCCTGGCTATGATTGTGCATGTGAGGTCAATGAGAGCACACTGACACTTACTGCAATGAAAAGAACATGGCGCAGCCAGACAGGATGACCATGGGGAGCAGGCAGTAACCCAGCACGCTGGCCACACAGCCGTATGACACCCCTGAAGAGCTCATCAGATTCAGTAAGGCATGAATCACAAGGCAACCAATGGCACTCATGCCATACACATAACCAAACTGAACTTTTCCTGCCTGAAACGACGTGGGGTAAAACAAAACAAAACAAAACAATTTGAACACACAATGGACACCAAGAGGAAATCTGAATATCACGAAGCAGAGAGTGTGTTAGAGTCAGTTCAGTGCTGTTTCCTGTCTTTGTAGGACTGTCATCAGGAGACTGGCAGTTCTGGGAAAAACATGGCCAATGGTTTGAATTCAGATTCTGAAAACAAACACTTCTGACTAGAGTTAGGATGGAATAAGCATGCTACAAAGAAGATAGAATATTTCTAGACTTATTTTTTATTGTAAATTGTCTATTAAGAGTACAAGGCATAAGTAAGACTATATTTTGTCCACATATTTATTAAATAATTACGTGATTGAATAGAGGAATAAAAAATCCAATTTTAGTCCTGGGGATTTATAAGGCATATTAGTAAAATTAGCAAGCATCTACAGGATTTACCATGTTGGATCCCATTCTAAGTGTGCCACATATATTTATTTAATCCACATAACCACCTTATGAAATAAGTATCATAATTACACCAACTTTACACATGAGGGCACTGAGATGCAGAGAGGATAAGTAACTTGCCCAAGGTAATATAACGCTAAGCAGTGGAAGTTGGCTTTGAACCTAGGTATTTCAGCTCTAAAATGTAGGTCCTGAACATCAACGGGAGCTCTTACAAGTCCTAAATAAGTCCCAAAATAATGGCACATATTTAACCCTATTTAATTTAGCACTTAGTTGAACACAGAATCCTTTTATGTTTCATGATACCTATTGCCAGGTTGATTAACCACGCCTTATGAAAAGGTGATTTATATAAACTAACTGGTAATGAATCATAAAAGGTGTACTGTCAAAGGAAGTTAGTAGTGTTCAGAGTACACCACCAATATTCTGAGGAAAACTCATAAAAACAGCCATTGCTCACAGAGCTAGTATTTTGTGAGTACAAGCCCCAGTAAATGCATTCAGAGAAAATCACAGCATACTATTACTTCAAAAGAGGATATTTTAATGTTTGCTTTCTGAGAATACCAAAGCTACAGTTAAAAATTCATTAATTTTTTATATTTACATTATGCTGATCATAACTTCTAGATAAAAGTTGAATAGGCTGTCTCTGGTTTTCATGGGAATTAGACAAAAACAGTGAAGGACCTGATAAATTGATTCAGGAGAGAAAGAGCTTTTTAGCTGCCACTTTTCCTTCTCCATGCTATTATCTATGAAGTCTTTTAGAGATATTTATTTTACAATTAATCAGGGTAATGGAGAATGCCATAGCTATTTTAATGTTCAAAATTGTTCACCTATTCTGAATTCTTCTTCCTCTGCAGTTGGAGCGTTGATCACTACGAAGTCCTTTCGTAAATATTCCTGACTTTTGCTGGCAGAATTGTCTCCAGCATTAGCCACTGATAAATTCTTATGATATCTTCTGTATTCTTGTGGCCATTTAATGAAATAATGCTAACGATGGACATGCTAGCAGAAACACATCAGCTATCCACTGCTTTATTGGGTGAGTTTGCTCCCGTTGCAAAATAAAGACAATTTCACATCATTGTCATGCATTAGAGAAACCATCTACTTAATATTTTACTTGGATGGGATAAATATGAGGTAGGGCTAGTCCTAATGGTATAGGACAACTCTCTTAAACCCAAAGGACACTTAACTGCACTTCCTGTCCTGAAAAGGCAGTTCTAGAAATGGAGTGGGGCAAATAGGGAGTAGATGAAGCTAATTTGGTAGTAAAGTTGTGTGTTTTCATATCAGTTATGAACTTCTCTCATCGTGTCTTTCTTTGGTAGTTTGTCTAATTTAAGTTGTAATTCCATTTAGCCTAAATCACTGCCATTTTAAAGAATTGTCTCAAATTCTAACAAGGGCTTATAATCGAAATAGAAAATAAATGTTCTATTTCTTTAACCTCAAAATTTTTAAGGATCCTCCCTATACCATCCTCATTACCACATCGTGATTTAAAATACTTAGTGTTCTTCTGATTGCACTTTTAAATTGGCCATGCATGTTGCTTTTTCAGACCACACTCTTGGCCCTACCAGAAAAGTTAAATGGAGCAAAAGCTTTAAACCATTTGTCTTCTTGGTGTTGGAAATGAAAATAATTTGGGGGAAAAGAATAAGTAAAACTAAATTTGTGCTAAGTGCTTGAAGCTTTCTTTGGTTTGTCTCCTTTTACCTGAAGAAAGTCCACTGAAAGAATGGCGTCTTATGTCAGCATGAATCTCAAAGAAGGAAGCATATGTGACTATAACTCTTATGACTCCAGAGATGATAAACAGATTTGGATATTGATTCTGGATTTAGTTTGCTTTCTCTAGTAAAATTCCTGTATCAGCCAGTAAAATCACTCTTACATTTTAATTCTACATATCCAGGAAAGAATTAACCTATAATCAAATGAATTCTGAGTTAAATCATACTTTAATTAATATTCAGTTGGAGTTTTGGGGGAGTCCTTTTTGCTCTATATCAGAATCAATTTGAAAGTTATCATATCTAATGGTAAAATTTCAAGTGATAAAGTTTGCATAAAGACATTCAGAAAATACATATTTTCACATATTCTACACAATTTTAGAACTAAATAGAACCTGAAGAGCTACTTAAATAAAATCCTTTTGCCTTGAAGAAAATGAAATGAAAGCCTAGAAATATGAAGCCGAAGGTTAAAGATTACAGCAAGTGGCAAAGCTAGGGTAGATCCAATTTTCTCGCTTCCAGTTAAGAATTTTTGCCTCTATTGCTTTGTATTTAAAATATAAGAAGGGATATGTAAATAACTCTAACTAACATTATGCATCCAAGAGAGATCATAATGGAATTGATGCTGTTCTTTAAGGGATGGTAACAGTGATGTTCCGCTACAGAACAAACAGCTGTTTTATTACAAATGACTTGAAAAAGAAAGATGAGTTAATATATTAAATTGATGGTTTCTGACTATTTGATTAATTGACATGGCCTTACTTAGCAGTTAATCTAAGATTATCAAATTACTGTGACAAAGACAGAAGAAGGGAGGTTAGAGACTAAATTAAAACTCTAGTTGATATAGTGTTTGATTTACAGAGTATTTGCACTTGCTGTAGTACAAAGAAATAAGATGTTATCACTAAATACTGTTGTATTGGATTAACATGATGTTATTATTGGCCAAATTACCTGCAGAAACTAGATTGCTATCAGTATTTTGATTGATTATATATAATAATTGAAAAGCAGAATTTTATTTAGTTGCAAATGCATTTTACAACTACTTTTGAAAATTGTATATCCACTGGAAGAAATTATTATTATGGAACATGAAGAGCAGGGAAATGGGGAAAAGGGCTAAATAGTTATTGTAAGAGCTTTTCCTATAATGTTTAATTTCTCATATTATTTCTTCTGCCTAGTTTATCTCTTTGTGTCTTAATGAAACAACATTTTTCAGACTGCCTTGGCCATCTTTATCATTCTCTGTTTTTATTGTATTGCCATCTCCTCCTTGGTGTAAAGTGAGAGACATTTTCTCATTTTTTTCTTATTCCTTTTTTTTTTTTTTTTTTAATGAAACATTTTCCTAAACTATGAGCTAGAATGTCTTTTAAACTTTACTTAGGTCACGTTTTTAGTGACCCTTAATACCATTACTTCCAGATATAAAGAATGAAAGCATACATAAGACATATGGTGAAGTCGGGGAACAAATGTCTTCATAAAATGTGGAAAATTAACATTTTAGAGGAAATATGTAGGCTGAGTAAACAAATCATAGGTTGTCATTGCAAATTAACTTTTTCCTAGTAGCCTAACCCAAAACAAGGAGATCAGTCTCGTACCTCATAAGATGTTAGAAATAGTCTGGAGATTTATCACAGCAAAGAAAATGGTGACCAAAGAGAAGTGACTTGTTCAGTGTCACAATAGAACTCTCACAAAAAACAAAAAAATAAAATGTAGGCCTTATATCTCCCAAATCTGTTTTCCTCCCATTATTCCAGATTTAGTCTTTTCTTAATAACAAAAAAGACATAAGTGATCTCCTACTTTGATCTCCTTCTTGATTTTTGAAATTCTATTTAAATTTATACTTTTTAGCTGTTGCAGTGCATAATGGTAGCATATTTTTGTCACTATGGTTAAATTATTCTCTCTCACTTAACAAAATTCACTATGTAAAGTGACACAGTTTCTATTATATTTATACATATTGCTTCAAAACCAGCACTGGCAAGGACAAGCATTAAAATCTGGTGCTTACTGTGACACACTACCAGAAGCAAGGTGGCTCCCAGGGCTATACAAAAAAGAATGGGTCCAGTGAGGTCCGTTTCATTCACAATACTGCCATCTGCTGGCTTCATTGGGTTTAACACTGTCCAAGTTTTTTGCCATGTGTGATCAAAATGGATTCCAAGTTCTGTAAAAAGGAAAAAAAGATAGATAATATGATAATATAAATATAGAAAAATAAAAATAAGTTACACTCTTTAAAGGTTAACATATCTGATTAACTTACTTAGCATTTTAATCTGATTGTTTTATCATACCTTCTGAAGTTCTATGTTCTGTATTACACAGAAACTCAAGTTCTATGTAACATACAAATCTTTAAAAAACAAACTAAAAAGTAATTTGGTTTCCAAAGAATGACTTAAAAGAAATGCGTTAGAGAAATATTTCCATCAAGGAAAACATTCCCTGATTTATGCAGCAAATACAAGCTTTAAATCTAATTAAAAATTGGGAAATTGGCAATATACAGTAAAAAATAAAATTGTAGCTAGCAGATCAAAAATTTCATCCTATTGCCCATCTAGATAGTTCCTTTTCCTGTATTTTCTTTTTTAAAAAAAAAAATTTCTTTTTTGAGACAGGGTTTCCCTCTCTCATCCAGGCTGGAGTGCAGTGGCATGATCCCAGCTCCTCCGCTCAGTCTCTTGTGTAACTGAGACTCATGTCTCAGTTGTGGCATGCACCACCACACTTGGTTAATTTTTTTTTTTTTCATAGTGATGAGGTCTCACTACATTGCCCAGGCTGGTCTCGAACTCCTGGGCTCAAGGGACCCTCCTGCCTTGGCCTCCCAAACTGCTGGGATTACAGCCCTGCGCCACCGCACCTGGCCCTTTTCCTGTATTTTCAATTGCTGACACTTCTGTAATCCCGTCATATCAGCCATGGCATAATTTTTAAATTAGTAGTACTATACTAAACTAATGAGACTGAGTCCAAGTCCACTATGCCTAATGAGAAGAGCAATTTTATGCTAAATGAATGAAACTACACAGAGGGGAAAAGGGCTCTTTCTGCAAGTAAAAGTGATCATGATGTGCACGCATATTTTTGTAAGGTCAATGTACTGTGAAGCTGAGTCTATGTATTCAAAGATTAAATTCTTGAGACAAGTTAAACTTTCTCTTTTATACATGGTAGTATTCAAATAAAGTATCCAAAATCAGTGAAGTTCAGTGTTCATGAGTCCAAACCTATTTAGAAATTTCTAATTTTTTTCTCCAATTCCCACTTTTCAAAGACTTCTGACTGCTGCCTCACAGATCCTTCTGCTAGAATCTGCTTCTCTCATTACTATAAAGCAAATACCGAGCCATTTGACATCCCTTGAACATAGAAATAAGTATTGATACCACATTGGTTTCTTTTCCTACCACTCCTGTAGAGATCAACTAAGATGTATCTAGGGTAGAGAAAGAGAACATTCAAAGAGAAGAGTATGACTTCACTATTTAGGGGCCAGCAATCAAATTGGTTATCCTCCTTCTATAATTTCAGAATGTCAGTAAGGGTGACGTGGAGGCTAGGAAGAATAAAAGCTAAAATTTACTGAGTGTTTGCTATGGACTTCACAAGATTTACATAAATTGGTCTTATAAATGCACAATCAATTGCTATTATTTTATCCCTATTTTATGCATCGGATATATAAGGCTTTGAGAGATTAATTTGTCTGAAGACACAAAGCAGTAATAGAAAACCTAGCTTTCAACGCTGCACAATCTGACTCAAGAAAGCACGTGTTTAACCATAGAGTTGTGGTCGGGTCAATGTTCGTCTAATCTTATAATTTTTTTTTTTTTTTTAAATGAGCCCAATTCTTCCATGTGAAGGACTGTCTTCCTAAATGTATTTGTATGTGGCATGTAACTACCCTTCCAAGCTTTAGTAACTTTCTTTGGTCAGATACAGGGGTATAGCTCAACTTATTTTACAGAGGCACATACCACCTAAATACCTTGCAAAGCTGACTTTCTGTACACAGACTACAACACAGACTTTTAATAAACCCCACGACACAGAGGACCCTTGTTCTAACAACTCAGAAATTTTCAGAGGGTCAGCTAGACACTGGTCTAAACCAAGAAATAAAGTTTTATTCATTTCATGCCCAGAATGACATCTGTTATTTTAAGCTTAAAAAAATCGAATAGTTAAATTAATAGCAAATAATTTACATTTCCGCTTTCTTGTTTCATCCTTTATTTCCACAGTGCATTTGTATATTTATTAATGAACATACACTTTGAATAATATGAGCAGTTCACCAAGCTTAAAGGAGGTTAGAATGTCTAATGTAATTTTTGAAAGAGAAGAAGACTTTAAAAATTGAGACTTGCTATATATTTAAAATTAATTAATTTTAAATTAATTTCCCCTGAAGCTTATGTTCTCAAACTTTATTTTTTAATTTTGGCATTTATGCTAAAAATACATTTTCAGTATTTACCACAATAAAGTGGTATTTAATTCCAAATACCTTTTCCTCAAAAAACGTAATTATTTTGGAAGAAATTCAGATGAAAAATGCTTTATGCAACATCATTACTGATGTCAACCATTTATTTAATGGCATAACTAACTCCTGCACATATTTTAACATCAAGCCATGAGACAGTAAATTAATATAAGCCCATATAAATATTTTCATAATGAAAAATACTTTATGTGCTTTCTACTGAAATATCTCTATAATATTGTTTTTTATTTATTATAAGGTATGTGAGCAATTATAACTACTTATTAATTATAGATACTCTAATATAACATCTTATTGTACAAAATAAAAGAAGATAAAACTGCTGTAAAATTTGAATGCAAAATTTATTGTTTTGCTGCCATCTAGTGGTAGTAAAGTATATGATACATATGCTATAAAAGTGAATTAAGATCTCTATTTTCTATGAAAATTGTGGCATTGGCCTTTCATATAGAAGCGTCGAGCTATGCTATAAATACAACATACTAAATATCAGTAATTCTTCTTATCTGACAAGTTTGAATTTACTCTTATTCTCAAAAATGCATTTAACATATTGATTTTACATTAAGAGCAAAATTTATCATTCTTACATAAAACCAAACAAATATTTTAGACAACAAAATATTTAAGAAATAAAGAAGGACTCTTTTGGAACAACATGCTTTTTGTGCAAGGAATGTTCATTATTATAGCTTGACAATTTTATAGGCCATTCTGATGGATGGTCAATAAAAACTAGTAAATGTTATTTAATGCATTATCCTAGAAATTGTATCATTTTTTATATCTGAAAAAGACATATCATGGCCTTTTTCATATCTTTAGACAAAAGAGGCTTGAGGCTTTCACAAGTCACTCAGCTTGAAGAATACATTGGATCCAAAATCCAGATATTTCATAGATTAAAAACACAAAATTATATTAGGTACTCTATCTTCTAATACTGGGGTTCCCAAACTCAGGGCCATGGACCCATACCAACTTGCTCATGGCCTGTTGGGAATCGGGCCACACAACAGGAGGTGGAGGTGAGCAGTGGACGAGCAAGTATTACCATCTGAGCTCCGCCTCCTGCCAGATCAGCTGCATTAGTTTCTCATGGGAGCATGAACCTATTGTAAACTGTGCATGCAAAGGATCTAGGCTGCACACTTGTTATGAGAATCTAACTAATGCCTGATGCTCTGAAGTGGAAGAGTTTCATCCCAAAACCATCTCCCCAACCTGTCTGTGGAAAAATTGTCTTCCACAAAACTGTTCCCTGGTGCCAAAAAGGTTGGGGACTGCTGTTCTAATACACTGTATATTTTGGGGAAATTGACTCTGAGCTGTATAAAATGGAAATAAAAATCTATTACGTATTTTCTATTCAAATTGAAAGACATACTAGAGGAGGATGTATAGAGAGTGGTAAATTAATGCAACAATAGAGACATTTCAGATAGTAGAAAAGATTATTTTCAATAAATGCTGCAGAAAAAAATAGTTAAGCAGTACAGAAAAAAATTAAATCTTACTTCACATATTAAGGTTAAACAACTATTGAATAATAATTTCAATATAAAACAAAAAATACAAAAGGATAATTTTAAAATGTGAGCATCTATAAAGAGATAGAGGCAGTACCTAGAGCTGGAGAAATAGATTTTTAAACAAACAACAATTGGAAAGAAATGTTACTAGGAAACATATTCTGGGTTTAAAAAATTAATATCACACTTTTAATATGTCCCAATGACCCATAAACAAACCAGATGGCAAACACAAGCTAGGAAAAAAATGTTTAAAATACGTATTCTAGACAATAATTAATATGGTTACTATATAAAATCCCTAAAAAATAAACAAGGAAAGAAAACTCTTTAAATTCTATAGAAATCTGAACCAAAAAAAAAACGTGAAAAATAAAAAGTCAATACACATATGAGAAATGTCAAAATTTTTTTGGTAACCCAGAGGTACAAAGTATTCCTTTTTCCTTTTTTCCTATGAAATTGACAAAGACGTGTCATATTCTACTCTGGAAGTGGAGTAGAACACCATTTTTGACATCATTTGACAGTGTTAATACCTTTAACCCAGCAATCCCACTGTTATGGGTACATCCTAAGGACAGACTCTACAAAGGTCAAAGATGGCAAAGCATTACTTGCTATAAGGAATAACCTTTAAGGTGTGTTTAAATTATGGTTATGTTATATAATAGAGCTCTATGAAACCATTATACATTGTTTTCAAATAATATTTAATGACTTTAAAGAATGTTTGCATAGAAGTGCTCGTGACAGGCTGGACACAGTGACTCATGCCCGTAATCCCAGCACTCTGGGAGGCCGAGGCAGGCAGATCACCTGAGGTCAGGAGTTCGAGATTAGCTTTGACAACATGGCAAAACCCTGTTTCTGCTAAAAACACAAAAATTAGCCGTGCACGGTGGTGTGCACCTGCAGTCTCAGCTACTCAGGAGGCTGAAGGAGGAGAATCGCTTAAACCCAGGAGGCAGAGGTTGCAGTGAGTCGAGATTGGGCCACTGCACTCCAGCCTGGGCAACAGAGTGAGACTCCATCTAAAAAAAAAAAAAAAAAAAAAATGCTCGTGACATAAAGTAAATAGAAATAATGCAATACTTAAGTACTCAAACGTATATATATTCATTGAAAAAATAGTATTTTACTTTAAAGTATGCATGTATATTCATGCATAGTACATATACATAAGCATTCATAGGAAAATAGAATAAAGGTTAGAAGAAAATACATCAAATTGTTAATGATAGTCATGTCTTTGAGACAAGATTTGAAGTAATTTTTATATTTTTATTATGCTTCTCTGTTTTCCCAATTCTGAAGACAATTAGGCAGAGATATTGGCAAAGCCAAGGAAAATGTTTAACTAGAATAACTTGTAACTTTTAAGTGTTTATTACTTGTAGAGGCAAAACAGAATGAATTGGTTAAAGATAACTGATCCAGAAACTTGACTGGCTTCCAAAGAGCCAATAGATCAATTATATAAATCTCTGTTCTGTTACGAACAGTTTAAATCTTTCACGGTATTACATTTTTAAGGAAAAGAAAGAAGAATGTGGTTGGTTGTGTTCATGTGAGGCAAACATCTTTACATCTTGTGATGTAAAATACTGGAAATTTTAATCTATTCCTTTTCACTTGACTACATGCAAAGGACTTGCAGCAGTTAACCAGTGACTATTTCTGCTTGGTTCTCAAATTTAAATCCACTTAGGGTTTTAGTGTCTTAACACCTATGTTTCTAGCACTGTATTAATCTTGTTTAAGAGCAAAAACAGCACATACAGACTGGCTACATATGCAAAAAAAACCAATGGATGGAACAACTCCAAAATCCCCTAAGGACCTTCAGCTCTAAGAATCTCTGGATTACCTTCCCACCAGGAGCGTTATTTACTGGATTTATATACTTCCTCACCTACTCATGCCAAGTGAGATGAAAGGGCTTGCATGAGTCAGGAAAGAAAAACACTGGCTTGTCTCCATGTCAACAATGACAACAAAAATATTAATTTGAGAAACTATCCACTTTGCTCCCAGGAAAACATAGCAGAGAATAAAATATGCTGTTATGAAGTGCTTCATTAACTGGGTGGGAAGGGTGGTCACTTTGATGTAACTACTCTGCCAAAAGATGTCTGCATTTTTTTCTATTCTTGGCCAAGGAGTTCAAATTTAAGAAAGAGTGAAGGAGCATTTAATAAGTGCAGCAATGTCATAGAATGGCCCATATCTACACCCAATTTCCCCTACGCAAACATGCAACAAACTTCCAACGGTTTAAGGGTTTTGGTTCAGCAAACTCTTGTTATATGTGAAACAATCACACATAAAACACTGTACACTGCAGGCTGACAGCACACATTAAGTGCTAATTATTGCTATTATTCTTCTAGCTGTACACACATTAATAACACTTCCTTAACTTATCTTCTAGCAAAGGAGGCTCTTCATCAAAACTGTCAATGTAAGGAGATTGTGAATAATAATCTGAGTTGGATGCTGGCTGAAAAAATTGTCCTGCATAACCTGGTGACATGAGAGTCTCTGATGGAACAAAAGAGGCAGGCTGAGGCTGCTCACCAGCTTGTTGTCTAGAAAAAGAAAAATACAAGGTCTTAGATTTTTTTAGGTCTTAAATTTTTAGGTCTTAGACCTAAAAAATACGTTTTTAGGTCTAAGAAAAAGGTATCATGACAAATAAAGTAGGAAAGTTACAATTTTACTTATATGAATTCACGTAGTTTTTATGAGTATTTACTCATGAAAGAAACAACTTACTTAAAATTTAACTTTAGTCCAAAAATGTAAAATAACTGGTCATCTAAAGGCTTCTGGAAAAATAATCCATATCAATAAACATTAATTGAGCATGTACAACATGCTGAATGTTTCCACTAATCTTTTCTCAATTAAAACTCTATAAGGTAAAAGCTGTATTTCTAATCTCATTTTACAGAAAAAGACACAGAACTTCACAGAGACTAAATGACTTGTCCAGTAACACAAAATAACATTGCAGGTGCTGGACTCTGGCATGAAGCTTTCTGAACAGTGATCTGCTCATCACACACTGCTGCTTTTTTACTTATTTTCAGGGACAGTCTCCAGCAACGAAACCCCTCCAAATATGTGGAAGCAGCAAGGAAAAATTATAATTTTAATAGTATAGTCAACTGATAGGAAAAATAAATACATATACTAATCACTGTGTATAAGGAAATATACTTCAGTTCTGGCCAGTTCTGTTGGTAATGACAGTCATTACCAAGAGAATTGTCTCTGAGTTCCTAGCTAAATGTATTATCTAGTTGGCTTTAGTGTCTCTTTATTTGTACAAATTTATGGGGTACATATAAAGTTTTGTTACATGCATAGATTGTGTAGTGGTCAAGTTAGAGCTTTTAGGATATCCATAACCCAAATAAGATTCATTATATGCATTAACTAATTTCCCATCACTCCTTTCCTACCCTCTCACCCTTCCAAGTATCAACTGCCAATGATTCTACTCTCTACCTCCATGTGTACGTATTTTTAGCACCTTTATGAGTAAGAACATGTGATATTTGATTTTCTGTGCCTGGCTTGTTTCACTTAAGATAGTGACTTCCATTTCCATGTATATTGTTGTAAATGACATGGTTTCATTCTTTTCATGGCTGAATGGTATTTCATTGTATATATACCACATTTTCTTTATTAATTCATCCACTGGTGGATACTAGGTTAATTTCATGTCTTTGCTATTGTGAATAGTGCTTCAATAAACATATGAGTGCAGGTACCTTTTTGATATATTGACTTCTTTTCCTTTGGATATATACCCAGTAGTGGGATTGTTTGATAAAATAGTCATTCTATTTTTAGTTCTTTGAGATATCTTCATACTGTTTTCCATAGAGGCTAATAATTTACATTCCCATCAACAGTGTGTAAGAGTTCCCTTTTCTCTACATCCCCATCAACATCTGTTACTTTTTGTCACTTTAATAAGAGCCATTCTGACTGGGGGAAGATGATATCTCACTGTTGTTTTAATTTTCATTTCACTGATGATTAGTGATGTTGAACATTGTTTCATATAACTGTTGGCCATTTGTATGTCTTCCTTTGAAAAATGTCTATTCATATTCTTGCCCACTTTTTTCTTTTTTTAAAATTTTGTATTTCCATAGGTTTGGGGGAAACAGGTGGTATTTGGTTACATGAATAAGTTCCTTAGTGGTGATCTGTGAAATTTTGGTGCACCCATCACCTGAGCAGTATAAATTAAACCCAACTTGTAGTCTTTTATTCCTCACACCCCTCCCACCCTTTCCCTCGAGTCCCCAAAGCCCACTGTATTATTCTTATGTCTTTGCATTCTCATAGCTTAGCTCTTACTTATAGAGAGAACATATAATGCTTGATTTTCCATTCCTGAGTTACTTCACTTAGAATAATACTCTCCACTTCCATATAGGTTGCTGCAAATGCCATTAATTCATTCCTTTTTATGGTTGAATAGTATTCCAAAGTGACTAATATACAGAATCTACAAAGAACTCAAACAAATTAGCAAGAAAAAAACAAACAAACTATCCCATCAAAAAGTAGGCTAAGGACATAAACAGACAATTCTCAAAAGAAGATATATAAATGACCAACAAACGTATGAAAAAATACTCAATGTCACTAATAATCAGGGTAATGCAAATCAAAACCATGATGCGATATCACCTTACTCCTTGCCCACTTTTTAATGGGATTGTGTCAGGGTTTTTTGGCTGTTGAGCTTCAGGGTTTTTTTTTGTTTTTTTGTTTTGTTTTGTTTTGTTTTGTTTTTTGCCATTTGTTGGCTATTTTTATTGCTGATTCAATCTTGCCACTCATTATTGCCTGGGGACCAAAGCTAGATGGAGCTGGACTAGGCAAGCTTGCACTCAGGCCCGCTAGTCATGAGTGCATGCACCAGCCATGACAGGTGAGGGCAAAACAGTCCATCAAAAAGTGGGCTAAGGACATAAACACAATTCTCAAAAGAAGATATACAAATGACCAACAAACATAGGAAAAAATGCTCAACATCACTAATAATCAGGGAAATGCAAATCAAAACCACGATGCAATACTACCTTACTCCTTGCCCACTTTTTAATGGGATTGTTTCAGGGTTTTTGGCTGTTGAGTTCAGTTCCTTGTATGTCTGGTTTTTAGTCCCCTGTCAAATGAATATTTTCCAAGTATTTTCTCCCATTCTACTGGCTGTCTGTTCACTCTGTTGATTATTTCCTTTGCTGTGCAGAAATTTTTAATTAAATCCCATTTGTCTATTTTTGTTTTTGTTTCCTACGCTTTTGAGGTCTTAGTCATAAATTCTTTGCCTAGACTAATGTCCAAAAGTTTTCCGTATGTTTTATTCAAGCATTTTTATAGTTTTAGGTTTTATGTTTAAGTCTTTAATCCATCTTGAGTTTATTCAAGTCAGGTAATGAGATGCCTCTAGGTTTGTTCATTTTTCTCAGAATTGCTTTGGCTATTTGGGCTTTCTTTCTCGTTCTGTATGAATTTTAGGATAGTTTTTTTTCTAATTCTGTTAAAAAACAATGCTGGTATTTTGATAGTGATTGCATTGAATCTATAGATTGCTTTAGGCAGTATGGTCATTTAAACAATATTAATTCTTTCAATCCATGAGCATGAGATGTTTTTCCATTTGTTTGTGTCATGCACAATATTTTTTCATCAGTGTTTTGTCATTTTCCTTGTAGATATCTTTCACCTCCTTGGCTAATAAATGTATTCCTAAATTTTGTTTGTAATTATTATAAACAAAATTGCCTTCTTGATTTCTTTTTCAGGTAGACAGTTATTGCTGTATAGAAATGCTACTGATTTTGTATGTTGATTTTATACCCTACAGCTTTACTGAATTCATTTATTAACTCTAAAAGGATTTGGTGAATTCTTTAGGTTTTTCTAGAAATAAGATCATATCATCCAATTTCCAATTTGGATGGCTTTTTTCTCTCTTGCCTGATTTCTCTAGATAGGATTTCCACTACTATGTTGAACAGGAATGGTGAGAGTGAGCATTTTGTCTTGTTTCAGTTCTTAGAGAAAATGCTTTCAACTTTTCACATTCAGTATGATGTTATCTGTGGGTGTGTCCTAAATAGAGTTTATTATTTTGAGGTACATTCCTTATATTCCTAGTTTGTTGGGGGATTTTATTATGAAAGGATGCTGAATTTTCCATTGAAAGAATCATATGGTTTTTGTCCTGGGCTCTGTTTATGTAATTTATCACATTTATTGCTTTACATGTATTAAATCATCCTTTCATCCCTTGTATAAAACCTACTAAATTATGACATATTATTTTTTGATGTGCTGTTGCATTTGATTTGCTAGTATTTTGTTGAGGATATTTGCATCTATGTCCATCAGAACTATTGGTCAAGTTCTTGTTGTTGTTGTGTCCTTGTCTGGTTTTGGTATCAGGTGTTACTGGCCTTGTAGAATGACTTAGAGAAAATTCCCTCCACCTGAATTTTTGGGAACAGTTTCAGGAGGATTAGTATTAGTTCTTTTTTTGTACATTTGGTAGAATTCAGCTGTAAATTCATCTTGTCCAGGCCTTTTCTTTGTTGAGAGACTTTTTATGGCTGATTCAATTTTGTCACTTATTATTGGTTGAGGGCCAAAGCCAGATGGAGCTAGACTGGGCAAGCTTACGCTCAGGCTCCCCAGTCAGGAGTGCATGCATCAGCCATGACAGGTGGGGGAGAAACAGTCCTCAGGCCTCTGGTAGAATTCTTGGGTAAACTTTAGTCACCACTGCACTGAGGTCCTGCCACGAGAAGGGTGGGACCAGTCCCAGTGGCCATAGTCTTGGTCAGTGAGTAAGAGACTTGCTTCCTTCTTACAGCCCCCAGTCTGGACAGGGTTCTCTCCCCTGTCTCAGGTGTCATAGCCATCCCAACTGTTCGGTTAGACCCCATGCCCCTCAGTTCATGCTCACGGCCCATAGGAGTCCCCACTTAGCTCAACACTAAGGCTTCATGGCAACTCTCATTCTGCTTAAGTAGGAGCAGTACCTGCTTCCCGCACTGGTGGCTGTAGCCCATGTCACACTAGCTTCTTAGTCTTGGTTGTTAGGGCCAGCTCCTAGTTCACACCCCAGTTCTGCAAACAGCAGCCCAAGTTTCCCTAATGCCTAGGACTGAATTCTCAGGACTTCACACAGTCTGTTAAGGGCTAAGATCTAGAATGGTGTCTTGCTATAGCTGCCTGGGTTTCAGAAACAGCAAGGAATACAAGGCATGCTCCCTCTCTAAAGCAGTTCCTTCTCACTGTTCCCTGGTTGCTTTCTAAGTTAGGCTTAGGGCTTGAGAGGGTCAAGGTGCTCTCCCATAGCCTGGATTGTGCAATTCCCCAGCAGAAGAGTGGACCGCGTAAAGACTCTCACTCACCCTCTCCTGTACTGGGGAGTCATTCCTGGTTCTTGGCTGGTCTTGGCCATGTATGCTGCCTATTTTCCTTCCCCTTCCTAGCTTTTGGTGTTTTCCGTCACTTTCCTGTTGAATTCCAGTGTTCTGCCTTGGATAATATATTAGAAGTGTGATTGTCCACACACCATTTTGCTTCTTCTAAGTAGATAAAGCATGCTTGAAATGCTCCAAGCCAGCCATCTTGAACAAAAAAAGAGTCCCTCTCTTAAAATGGGCGATTTAATGTTGCCAAACCAAAATACTTCTTTGACATGTTTTTGCTATTTATTTTTATTCATTTTAAATTGTTTTTACCTTAAAGAATGGAAAGAAACAAAGAGCTGTCCAGTAACATGTTTTAAATTTCTTTCACAAAAGCCCTTGGGGTAAACTAAATATACAGTCCAAGGTTCTGAACTTGGTAACTCCCTGTGATTTCTTTATGATAAAATATTTACAAAATGGCCTTTAGTACTTTCCTTCGAATATTAATCTTAATATGAAATCTAAGAATAACATATTTGACCTCCTTTATGTGAGTTAGCCTGACCAAGAGAATAACTTATTTAGGAAAAGAAAGCCACATATATAGAGGGGGGACATACACACTTAATCATTTACTAATTCAAATGTATACTCATTAAGAGCAAGAGCCTGGTGTAATACTATTTGAACCTGCCAGAATGTATGGTGATTACCTGCTATTATTTTTCACTTAGCCATGTGTAATATTCCTAATGTATTTTCCAGTAAAATAGGCACACCACCAAAAATACTGGTAGAAACAAATTAGAATAGGAATCTGAATGGCTTTTTTCTTGATAAAAATCCCCCAATACCTATTTTTTTAATGTAAGCCTTTCCAGAAAAATTAAAGGGACACATAAAGATGACTAAATGGACCAATGTCTAAGTAAAACTATGTCATTGCCGTACTTGTCTGGCCTCACCATAACTTATATCAGGTGCTACTAATCAGGTTTGAGTAAACATAACTTTCACAGTTATTAGCTGCAAAGCAACCTTTGTGAACGGGTGGACTATTTCAGGTAGTAACTTTGACTCATCCTCTTCAAAGAGAAACAAAATTTTACAGAAAAAGGTTCTCAGGAACTTAGCTTCTATTGTCCTTATTGTAATGGGGGTATAATATTAAAATTCCTCTACCACTTATTTAAGAAAGTAAAAATTTAAAATTTGTTGCATAAAGGAAAACACAAAATTTATAAAATTACCATGCTCACCTTTGATAACTATCTAAATTTAAATTATGTTTTTCTTTATCTTATATCTTTGTATAGCATCACTGTAATATTAAACGTTGCATCTCAATAAAAATAGCACAACCAATACCAAAAGAATCACATTATTAGTCCAAAGTATGACCCAAAAATCTGTAAATGATATGGTTTGGATCTGTGTCCCCACCCAAATCTCATGTAATCCCCAATGCTGGAGGTGGGGCCTAGTGGGAGGTGATTGAATTATGAGGGCAATTTCTCATGAATGGTTTATCACCATCCCCCTAGGGCTGTTCTCGTAATAGAGTTCTCATGAATCTGATTTTTTAAAAGTGAGTAGCACTTTCCACTTCTCTCTCTTGATCCTGCTCCTGCCATGTGAGATACCCACTTCTTTGCCTTCCACCATGAGTAAAAGCTCCCTGTGGTCTCCCCAGGAGCAGCTATTGCCATGCTTCCTGTTCAGCTTGTGGAATCATGAGTCAATTAAACCTCTTTTCTTTATAAATTATCCAGTCTCAGGTATTCCTTTATAGTAGTGCAAGAATGGCCTAATACAAGAAACTGGTGCTGAGGAGTGGGGGCTTTGCTTTAAAGATACCTGAAAATATGGAAGTGGCCTTGGAACTGGGTAACAGGTAGATGTCGGAAGACTGTGGAGGGCTCAGAAGAAGACAGGAGGATGAGGAAAAATTTGGAACTTCCTAAAGATTCGTTAAATTGTTATGATGAAATGCTGACAGTGATATGGACAACAAAGTCTAGACTGAGATCTCAGAGGGAGATTAGAAACTTAGTGGGAACTGGAGTAAAAGTCACTTTTGCTATAGTTTAGCAAAGAGCCTGGGTGCATTGTGCCCCTTCTCTAGGGATGTGTGATGTGTGAAACTTTAAACCTGAGAATGATGGTTTAGGGCATCTAGTGGAAGAAATTTCTAAGCAGTAAAGCATTCAAGATGTGACCTGGCTGCTTCTAACAACCTATGTTTATATGTATGAGCAAAGAAATGATCTGAAACTTGAAATTATATTTAAAAAGGAAGCAGAGTGTAAAAGTTAGGAAGATTTGCAGAATGGCCAAATGGTAGAAAACAAAAGCACATTTTCAAGGGAGGAATTCGAGCAGTCTGCAAAAAATTGCGTAAGTGAAAAAAAGGAGCTATGTGCTATTAGCCAAGAAAAGAGGAAAAGGACTCAAAGGCCTTTAAGTGACCTTTGTGTCAGTCCCTCCCATCACAGTCTCAGAGGCCTAGGAGGGAAGAATGGTTTTGTAGGCCAGGCCCAGGACCCCACTTCCCTTCATAGCCTCAGGACATTGCTCCCTGCATTCTGGCCACTCCAGCTCCAGTCTTGGGGCAAAATGAGCCCAGTTACAGTTCACTGCTTCAGACGATGCAAGCCCTAAGTCTTGGTGGCTTCCACACAGTGTAAAGCCTGCAGGCGCGCAGAGTGCAAGAGTTGAGGCTTGGAAGCCTCCACCTAGATTCCAGAGGATTTATGGAAAAGCCCGGATGTCCAGGCAGAAGCCTGCTGCAGAAGTGGAGCCCTCATGGAACACCTCTACTAGGGAAGTGTGGAATGAAAAGGAGGGGTTGAAACCCCCACACAGAGTCTCCACACAGAGTCCCTCACAGTGCAGCTGTCAGAAGACGGCCATCATTATCCAGACCCCAGAATGACAGATCCCCCAGAAGCTTGCAACCTGCATCTAGAAAAGTCTCAGGCATTCATCACCAGTACTTGAGAGCAGCCACAGGGGCTGCACCCTGCAAAGCCACAGGGTTGGAGCTGCTGAAGACCTTGGGAGCCCACCTCTTGCATCATTGTTACCCGGATGTGGGACATGAAGTCAAATGAAATTATTTTGAAGCTTTAAGACAGGGGTGTCCAATCTTTTGGCTTCTCTGGGCCACACTGGAAAAAGAAGAATTGTGTTGGGCCACACATAAAATATACTAACACGATAGCAGATGAGCTAAAAAAAAAATCTGCAAAAGTATCTCATAACGTTTTAAGAAAGTTTATGAATTTGTGTTGGGCCACATTAAAGCCACCATGGGCTGCACACAGCCTGTGGGCTGTGGGTTGGACAAATTTGCTTTAAGATTAATGACTGCACTGCTAGGTTTTAAACTTGCATGGGGTATTCCCTTTTTTTCTGGCCAATTTATCCCTTTTAGAATGCCTACACCAATGCCTACACCTCCATTATATCTTGAAAGTTACTAATTTGTTTTTGATTTTATAGGATCATAGGCAGAAGGGACTAGTCTTCAGGTGAGACTTTGGACTTGGACTTTTGAGTTAATGCTGGAGTGAGTTAAGACTTTGGGGAACTGTTGGGAAGGGTTAATTTGAACTTTGACATGTAGGACATGAGATTTGGGAGGGTCCAGTGGTAGAAGGATATGGTCTGGATCTGTGTCCCACCCAAATCTCATGTTGAAATGAAATTCCCAGCTGGAGGTGGGGCCTAGTGGGAGGTGATTGGATCATGGAGGTGGTTTCTTATAGATGGTTTAGCACCATCTCCCAGTGCTGCTCTCGTGATAAAGTTATCATATCTGGTTGTTTAAAGATGTGCAGCACCTCCTCGCTCTCTCGGTCCTGCTTCTGCCATGTGAGACTCCTGCTCCTGCTTTGTCCTCCGCCATGAGTAAAAGCTCCCTGAGGCTTCCCCAGAAGCAGCTGCGACCATGCTTCCTCTACAGCCTGTGGGACTATGAGTCAATTAAACTTCTTTGCTTTAACCCAGTCTCAAAAATTTCTTTATAGCAGTGTGGCAATGGCCTGATATAGTAAATAACCCAATTCTTATGTTTTAGGCTTTTTTTTTTTTTGCTAAAAATTTCTATAAACAACCTTAATTTTAAGCATATGTTATGAATTTACATTTAGTCCCCTATGTCTTCTGGTATTCTCCTTTTTTTTTACTAAGTGGCACTAACTCTGAATGGCTACACCAATGAGTTTTCATATATTCTTAGAGACATCTTTCAAACCTACAATATCCTTTCATGAAAAAAGTCTCTGAGATAATGGATCTGGACATTTCACTATTTGGCTCCATTAAGCTTATAGTCCTTGATGATTAACCTATTAGAGGTAATGTAATGAGTCAGATTAATATGCTCAATATTTAAGATGTTAAAGTTATATATTTGTACCTCACAATAAGTCTTTTGCAGAATATGCCAAGAAAATGTAACTCTTCTCTTCTATTACACCATTAGTTCTATTGAAAGATAAATACTGAAATTGTGATAATTTCAAATTCAGCACATTATTACAGATAAAATAAATGTTAAATGAATTAGATCAAAAGAAACACTGAACTCTGGCTTGTTGAATTTAAACTTTAGCTTTGTTAGTAAACACCTCCTCTTCCTTTAAAAA